GTGTATTCCATTAAAATAAGATTCATTATCTGATTTTTTTTTAAATTTCAATTTTTTAAATATGAAAAAGTGTGAATTTATCATATTACTCTCATTTAATTAATAATTTCAATTCTTAATGTTTAAATTAACCAATGACATTTTCTGATATTTTAAATGTTTTATCATTCTCTGCCTTTTACTTTATATATATAAATATATATATATATATATATTTAAAAAAAATAAAATAAAGAAAGGCAATATATTGCATTCATAATTTAGATTTAAAAGTGCCACCAACGTGGCCTAACCTAATGGAAAAGGGCATTGACTTGCAGACAGGAGGTCTCATGATTCAAACCCCCATGACATTTTAGTTTTGTGTATGTGTGTATGTGTGTGAGAAACTTATTTTCATGAAGTTTAGACTATCGCTTACGCTATAAATAAAAAAACCGCTAGCCAATACAAATACAAACAACCACATGGGGTTAATAAAAACCCAAAAGTAGAATAACCACATAGGGTTAATTCAAATATGGAGGATGGATTCAACTGGCAACAACAAGTGCACAAGGTGTACCTCTACTCATAGCCACACAAGGTTAAAGAAATTCCGATATAAAAGCCACAAACGTGGAAAACTCAGACAAAGACCTCAATGCACAAAACTACAACTGCAATTACAACCTTTAAAATTACCAGCTATAAAATTACTGTTAATAGCTCTTACCACCTCCACGAGCTGAGCCCATCAAAAGAGAGACGTGGCCATGATATATCAGGTCTCTTGCGCACCGATCAGTTTTTAGTACGACAGACCATAGACTAAACAAGTGGTCAACTGTTTTTATGTCTACCTGACCTCCAGGATATTCTATTCAACCATAAACGCGTAGATGACTAGCAAAATGTAACACTCCGACTCCAAATTTAATTCATATTTTAATTTATTTAAGTGAATTTACAATTTACCCTTAGGGTATGGGTATTTTTGGACATTTTCTTATCTGGAGGGACTTTGGGACAACGAGTGATTTTGTTGCGTAGGTGGTACTGAGACGAATCCGTAGACATGTGGTAGGCTTGAACCGGAGTTGTAACGAAGATTTGGCGATCAAAATAAGTTTAGCGGCGAAATTGTAATTATTTCGAAAAGGATTAGAGAAAAAATCTAATTTTTCACTTATATATATATATATATATCTCTCTCTCTCTCCCTCAATGGTGTCAAACGGGCCGTGCCGTGCCGGCCCATCCCATTTAAACTCGTGCTTTTAACGTTTTCGTGTCGGGCCGGGCAGGCCCATTTAATTTATCGGGCCGTGCCGTGCCGGCCCATTTAGTAAAATTATTGATCCCGGCCCGGCCCAAAGCCCATGTCCATATTGAAACGGGCCGGGCCGGGCTCGTGCCGTGCCCGTGCTCGTGCTCGTGCCACACTCGGGCCCAAGAACCAATCCATTTAATTTGAATTTTTTTCACTTCATTTTTTTTTCACTAGATAATTCAAATATAAACATTAAAAATATAATTAGAGGCAAGAAATGATGAACTATTTGAAAACATTAATCAATCAAACATCCAAACAATATGAAAATGGCAGAGGGCAAAAAGTGTCAAACTCTACAAAGTCCACTTCAACTTTTCATCTTTAAACAACTTATTATTTTATATGTGAAATAATGTCTTGCTTTGATTATAAGATAAGCATATATGTCATATGTACTGATTAGATATCAAGTCCAATATTGTTTAATTAATTTGTAGTTGATATGTTTAATTAATTAAGGACCCAAGTAATTTCCCTAAAATGAAATACATCAAATATATATTTATGATTAAAAAAACATATAAATAATGACATTAGATGTCAAATTATTGCATTTTGACTTTTGAGAAAGAAAAAAATGTTAAGTGGGCCGTGCTTGGGCCGTGCTTGGGCTCGTGCTTGGGCT